CTTGAGGGATTATTATCAGGCATGTGGAGCAAGGAAACTTCCCCAAGGTTTCGCCCTACTGGGAATTGATCCCAGGTCTCTTGCTTGTGAGGCGAGTGCTCTAACCACTGAGCTCCAGGACTCCATTCATCTATTAGTATAGATAAATGAGAAAGCTCCCACCTAGGCTTTGAAAGTTTGATTATGTTCGTATCCGTAGGCAGCAAAGAATGTCATTTTCTGCTAAGGTTTGTTAATTAAGTGTTTTTGTTACCAGAATAAAAGTAGGAATTGCAAAGAACTGAACTAAGATTGTTGGCTATTTGACTAAACGTACCCAAGGGTATGAGTATGTTGTCAAATGTTAACCAGAGACGGAAAAAAGATTGACAAGAAACTTAATTCAACAACAACAACAAATTACATTTGTATAGTGCCTTTTACATCAGGAGGACGTTAATTCACCATCAGACAAAAAAAAAAGGCTGAGGATGCACAGGTTTTAGAATGTTTTAATAATGCACCAGAGGAGCTAAACAGAAACATCAATCACATTGTTTGACAGTTTTTCAATCTGCCTGAACAACAATGAGGATATATTCTTCATGATGGTTTGATTGATAATTTCAGGCCTTATTTAGATCGATTGGCAAGCCACTGGTAATAATAATAACAATCTTTGCATTTGATATATCGTTGCAATGTTTCAAAGTGCTTCACAGAATACACTGTAAACTTTATTGACTATATATTTTGTGGGCAAAATCGGCAGCCAATTGCACACAGAAATGTCCCACAAACAGTCATGAATTGAGTGAGCTATTTATTATTTTTCTTAAGGGATTATTATCCCCGGAAAGCGAGCCGTCAATCGACTAACAACTGGGTTCCTATTTACTGCTAGGCATATGGAGTAAGGAAACTTGCCTAAGGTTTTGCCCTGCCTGGGAATCGAACCTGGGTCCTTTCGCTTGTGAGGCGAGTGCTCTAGCCAATACACTAGAGGGCTTACAGGAAGAAACCAAGATATACTGTATTTTGGAAGTGGATAACCTGAATGCAATTTATGAAAAGGAGGATAGTGACTTGTTTGTGGACATTAGGGAAGGGAGTTTTTCTCAATGTCCCAGCCAACAATCTCCCACTTAAAATTAGTCATTCATGTCATGGTTGTTTGCGGGACATTGCTGTGTGCAAATTACACAGTCAATACACTTTACAATAAATCCTGCAATGGGCTTTGAGATGTCCTTTCGATGTGAAAGGTACTTTATCAAATGCAAGGATAATTAATAATAATAGATGAGAGTTTCATAATTCTGCAATCCAGGAACTGGAGGATTGTAGTGACATTTTTGTGAGTTATATAAGAAAAATATCATTCATTGATGTTCTGCTGAAATAATTCTCTTTGACAACCTAATCTAACAAGAAAATACACATTTTAGAGCCCTGTATTTCTCAATAAACAATCTGCTACATTAGGCAAAGGTGACCTTGTACGTCAAATGTGGTCACTCAATCCACAATTGTTTGTGGGACACTGCAGTATGGAGTTCCAGGTGGGGGAAGAGTGGCAGAAGGTCCGCCTGCCAATAGTGGGGCGAGCGAGGCGGAGGACATGAAGCAGGCCTGAGCCCGCTAAGCAGAGGGAGCGAGCAGGATGGTAGAGGGTTAGGAGGTCACAGAAGTAGGGGGGAGCAAGACCATGGATGGCTTTGAAGGTGAGGACCAGAATCTTGAACTGTATCCTCTGTGTGATGGGAAGCCAGCGGAGTCAGGTGAGGATGGGGGTGATAGGGTCACAGAGCCTGGTGTGGGAGACGACACTGGCTGCAGAGTTCTGGATGATCTGCAGCCTATGAAGGGAGGAGTTGGGGAGGCCAACAAGCAAGGAGTTTGCATAGTCGAGACTCAATGTAATGAAAGCATGTATGAAGGTTTCGGCAGCCTGCGGAGTGAGACAGTGTCGGAGCCGGGCGACGTTGCGGAGATGGGGGAAGGCAGAGCAGGTCATGGCGCAGATGTGGGGTAGAAAGTATAGTTGAGGGTCAAACAAGGTGCCAAGGTTCCAGACTGGCATAGCAAGGTGGAGTGTGCAACCATGGATAGTGATGCTGTCAGCGCCTGAGGTGTGGAGGCGCTAACGGGAGCCAATCAGGAGGGCTTCGGTCTTGTTGATGTTCAACTGAAGAAAGTTAGCTCTCATCCAGGACTTGATGTCTGACAGACATTCTGTCAGGACAGCAGTTGTCCTGGAGTCCAGGGTGGAGGCAGAGACATATAGTGGGTGTCATCTGCATACACGTGGAAGTTGACCCCATGTCTGTGGATGATGTCACCAAGAGGGAGTATATAGATGTTGAAGAGGAGTGGACCAAGGACAGAGCCCTGAGGAATGCCACACGAGACGGTGCGGGGGCTAGAGGAGAAACCATTTGTGGAGATGAAGTCGAAGCGGTGTGAGAGGTACGATCTAAACCAGTCAAGGACAGAGCCGTGAAGGTTGAGGTGAGAGGAGATGCGGTGGATGAGGATAGAGTGGTTAATGGTGTTGAAGGCAGCAGAGAGATCAAGGAGGACGAGGAGGCAAAGGGAGCCCTGGTCACAGATGGACAGAATTTCATTTGTCACTTTGACCAGGGCTCTTTCTGTGCTGTGGGCAGCTCAGAAACCTGATTGGAGGGGTTTGTGAAGGGAATGGTGGGAGAGGAAGGAGCGAAGCTGGGAAGCAACAACAACTTATTTCCTTGGAGAGGAAAGGGAGGTTGGAGATGGGATGGTAGTTTGGGAGTAGAGATGGGTCCAGGGAGGGTATTTCAAGGATAGGAGTAAAGACGGCAGGTTTTAATGGGGTGGGAACAGTACCAGTGGACAGTGAGATGTTTATGATGTCTGTGAGTAGAGGGGCAAGGAGGTGGAGCTGGGAGGTAAGGAGAGGTAGGGATGGAGTCGAGGGAGCAGGTGGTCAGTTTTATGTGGTTTATAGTAGTGATGAGAGAGGAGTGAGAGACAGGTTCGAAGGTGTGGAGGGAAGAATAGGTAGGGGCTGGGATGGGAGGGGGAGATGGGGAGGGTGTAGCAGATGGAATGGCAGTGGCAGCTGAGTGGATCACCTCAACTTTGGATTCAAGGAAGTCCAGAATCGCCTCACAGTTGACATTTGAGGTGAGGATGGGCGAGGTGTGAGAGGGTGGGCGGAGGAGCTGGCTGGTGATGGAGAAGAGGAGCCTGTGGTTGTCCTTGGCCTCCAAGATTGTCTTGGAGTAGAACAACGATTTAGCGAAGGCGATGGCCGAGTTGTAAGATTTGATAAGGTCCTGTCAGATCTGCCGATAGACCATCAAGTTTGATTTAAGCCAGGTGCGTTCAGTGGCATACACCTGTGCTTTAAGGGAGGGGAGGTGGCTGGTGTACCATGGTGACTTTCATTAGTAAGAGATCGTTCAGGAAGTGAAGGGAGCAAAGAAATCAAGAGTGCTGTAGAGGGAGCTGTGGAAAATAGTGATTGAGGAGGATAGTTCAATGCGAGAGGAAGCCCAGAGGGGGAGGAGTTCAGATGACTCCAAGGAAGGTGGGGGGGAGATTTTTTCCAGGGACGGTAGGAGATGGAGGTGGGTTGGGTGGTGGTTGAGAGAGGGATTGAGGAGTTGTGGGAGATGAAGTGTTGGGATCCAAGATCGCTTTGTTCATGATGGTGAGGTCTGAGATGGTGAGGCTCCAAGTGATCACCAGGTTGAGAGGGTGACTGCGGACATGGGTGGCAGAGTGGAGGTTGAGGGAAGAGATAAGTGAGGAGAAGCCAGCAGAAGTAGAGCAGAAGGGGATGAAGTGAAGGTTGAAGTCGTCTAGGATGAGGAGGCATTTGGAGTAGAGGGAGAAGGAAGATAGGAGGGTGAGAATGTCAGGGAGAATGGTGGGGGAGGGCTTGGGGGAATGATAGATAAGAATTTTGAGGAAAAGTTTGGAGGGGTGATAAAGGGTAAAGTGCTTGAAGGAGGGGAAGGTTCCATAGGAGTAAGGGGAAACGCTGAGCGGGGACCGGGAGATGAGAGCCACCCTGCCACCACTGCTGTTAGGTCGTGGGGTATGATTGAAGGTGTAGCCAGGTGGGGTTGCCTCTGTCAGGGGTCATCTAGAGTGATCCAGGTTTCAGTGAGGGCGAGAATGTCGATGCTATCATTGACAATGAGGTATTGGATGGTGAGTGTTTCATTGGAGAGAGAGTGGACATTTTGTAGGCCGTTGCAGAGGGGACAGTTGGTGGCAGAATGTGGGGGATGAGGGGAGGGGAAGGATTGACAGGGAGGGTGAGGATGTAGATAAGGGAGGAGAGGTTGGCCCCTGTGGTCAAGGACCGATGGCGAGAGTGGGGATAGGGCAGTCAGAGTGGCTGCTGTTGGACAGCCAGCAGCATCTGCTACAGTGGGGCCGATGGAGTCGTTTAGGATGAGAAGGTGTTTGGAGCCGATGGAGGCTTCGCAGGCAGGAGCAGAGGGAGGCTGTGGAATGGTTGAGCAGGGATAGGAGTCGGGGAGGGTGGTGGGAGAGGAGGACCGAGTGGGAGTAATGGAGGATAGAGGACAGTGGTGGGAGCATTTTGGGGAAGCAGCTCGGGTCAGTGGTGGCAGCCAAAATGCGTACGCTGACACTAAGAGCGAACCTGGGGGTGTGGGAGCAGCGAGGCATGAATAGTCTGCTGGTGTGGATCATCATGGGAGAGGGGGACAATCTTATAGTCCCAATGAGTCCAGGCTGAGAAATTCAAAGGTGATGGGCAGATGTGACCTCACGCAGCAGCCGGTCTCTGGTTAGATGTTGACCAGAAGAGTCAGCAATGGCCATGGCAAGGGCCCCACTCCAGGCATCGAATTGGGGCCTCACTACAGGTGCCGATTTAGGCCTCGCTCCAGGCATCGCTCATATGTAAGTTGCCTAGATCCCTGCTTGCCACCAGAGGCCTCGAGCCCAAGAGCTCCTGCCCTCTCTTGCTCCACTCCAAACAGACTCCGATTGAACCCACTCGCCAGGATTGTAAAACACAGGGTTTTTCCCCGTTTTTGCAATCATGTTTGGCAACCTCTTCACGATTCCAGCCTCTAGCCCGGCGCTATTTTAGGATCTGCAAAAAAAAAAAGGCACAATACAAATGTAATTTGTTGTTGTTGTATTTGACAAGATGAAGCACAGATTATTAGATATTCTCTAAATGTCTGGAATCAATGGGAAGGACACCAGATTTATTAGGAAGCAACAAGCAGTAAAAGTTGATAATGAGTTCATAAAATGAGCAAAGATCAGAAGAAGAGCAAGGAAAGGATGTGTTAAATCACCTAATCTTCTGAACCTGTGCCCTGCATTCATTATAAAATAGTCTGGATGATTTATAAACTGGGTTCAAGATGAATTAAAAATATGGGAAGTAAGGTTTTCAGGAAATACTGATTTATGATATAAAAAGAGCAATTACAAGAAAATGTAAACCCCGCAAATTTGGATTATGGATAAACAATAAAGTGCTAAAAAGGTAAATTCACAGCTCATTATTCCATTGCTTGGAATATTACTGCTGGAATTTCAAAGTTGGAGTATTGTGTCCAGTTCTGGGCATCCCATTACTGAAAAGACAGCACAGCCGTAGAAAAGGTAAAGGCATCGATTTACTAGATCAGGGTGGTCCAACAGGCAACACGCAGACCACCTGGTCCAGCGGGTGATTTTATGCGGCCCGCAACCATTTCCACCATTCCAACTTCCGCTCCCTCCCTCCCTGGTGAACGTCCTCCCAGGACAGTGGCAGGAGCCGGTGGTTGGGAGTTTTCAGCTCTCAGAGCCTTTACTGCAGTCTTGTTGAGAAGACCAATGCGTCGCTTACCAACCATCCTTAGCAACCAACCGCAGGCTCCTGCCACTGCAGATAGTGAACCGCAGGGAGAGAGAGGAGTGAGAGAGCGTATTAGTGTTCAATAAAAATTTGTGTTGTTTACTTCATTAACTACTTTGTTTGAAGAGCTTTCAGCTCATGTGGCAACTCTGCTCTAATTCTCCTAAAAATATTACATGCTACCAATTGATAACAGATGGCAATACATTCACTGAATGGAAATATAATGCACTATTTAAAAACTAGTGATCTGCACATACTAGGCCCAGGAGAATTGGGTAGATTTTGTAATGTCCTTAGCCTTAGACATACAATAAGAATTTGTTCGTCACTCAATCACATATCCTTTTCTTGTCATTATGGAATGTGGGACATCCTTCTGATGTGAAAAGCGCTATACAAATGTAATTTGTTGTTTATCACACAGGTAAAGGTAATTTAACCCATCTGGTCTGTACTATTGCGAGCTTCCTCACTTATGCCATATACTCCAATCATATTCCCATCACCCTTTAATATTTTTCTTAAACTATTTATGTAATTTATTTTTAAATGTTGTTATGGATTCGGCTTCAATACTCATTCAATTGGAATCCCATAGCAAAGTAGTTATCACACTCACCTCGCAAGCAAGAGGTTCCGGGTTCGATTCCTGGGCAGAGCAGAACCTTAGACATGTTTCCTTACTCCACACAGCTCTGTTTATCTTGCAGTAAGTAGGAACCCCGTTTAGTCGGTTGGCAGATTGCTTTCTGGGGTAATAATCCTTAAAAATAATTGGTCACTCAATCCACACTTCTTTGTGGGACACTGCTGAGTGCAATTGGCTGTCACGTTTCTCCCACAAAATACACATTCAATCCACTTTACAGTATATTCTGTGAAGAGCTTTGAGACGTCTCAGTGACCTGATGAGGCACTATATCAAATGCAAGGATTATTATTATTACTTGTGCTGAGGCATTCCGTATTCTAACATCCTTTTCTATAAAACATTCTTCTAACCTCCCCTTTTTATTTTTGAGAGTAATTTTACATTAAAAATATTAGTCAAAATGAGGCAACATGATCACCTGAGAATTTAAGAAGTATTCTCATATATAACTATGAACTAGACCAGAACTCAAATCATGACAATTTTCAAAGACAACTGTTTTGTCCAGGGCCCCAATCCAAGACATTGATAGTTATACAAAATTGTAAAATTGACTTGCTTTTACAGTAGTAAAGTTCCAGTGTCGAAGAACTGGCAAAACTCTGATTATACATCAACTATTGGGGTCAACCACTGAGATCAACCAACCAACTAAGAAATCAACAACTTGCATTTATATAGCACCCTTGATGCAAGATAACACCTCGAAGTGCTGTTCAATCAGGATTGTGGGATTAAATTTTCACTGATTCTAGTATCTGCTTTGACTTGCAGATAGATTCTTGCTATCTATGGGCAATGTGCCACCAAAGTCCATTGATATTCTTGAAACATGATATCATTAACTATCGATGAGCCGTAATTGGTGCCCTTTCTTATCAAAATCATCCTCTAAGTGACCCAATAGGGAAACAGTACACCTTCCTATCCATTTATGCAAATTATAGATAGTCAGTTACCCCGCCAAACTGTTTCAATCCACACTAGAGTCAAACTTGATGGCACCATAAGTATCAAAAAAAAATTTAAAATGTGTTTAAAGCACTACTTAATATATTTAAAGAATATACAGGCATAAAAAACAAAAGGGGTAACCGTGGCAGTTCCAAGAGTATAGTTCAGTAACCTATGAGTCACAAGCCAAAAAGGGCTAGAAGGCAAAGTATTCAAGTGTGAGCAATGTTATCGGTGCATCTTCAAATGAGAGTTAAAAGCTGAGATGAAATATGAACTGCTAGGAAACTATTATGAAGGGATGAGCAGAAAATAAACCCAGAGTTCAGCAAATGCTCCTAAAATTAAGAAATACAGTATGACAAGAAAAACAAAGCTATCTGTAAACAATGTCTTGAGCAGAAACAGTACGGTTGACAAATATGCTGAAGTACCAACTTCTATAGTAATAATAATAATGCATTTGATATAGCGCCTTATCATGACTTCAATACGTCTCAAAGCGCTTCACAGAATATACTGTAAAGTGATTTGACTGTACATTTTGTGGGTGAAATGTGGCAGCCAATTGTGCAGTGTCCAACAAACAGTCATGGATTGAGTGACTAATTTATTTTTCTGAAAGATTTATTACCTCTGGAAAAGCGATCTGCCAATCAACTAACAACCGGGTTCCTACTTACTGCTTGGTAATCAGAGGCGTGTCGAGTAAGCAAACATGTCCAACATTTCACCCTGCCGGAAATCAAACCTAGGTCTCTTGCTTGCGAGGCGAGTGCTCTAACCACTGAGCTACACCATAGTGAGGTGGAATGCATGAAACTGATTGGTTTGAATACTTTTAAGAAATTCTCTTTTAACAAATTAATGAGAAATCCCTCGTGAACAATATGGTTTCAGAGTAAATTGATTTCGCTTGTTGCAATCTCACTCTTGATCAAAAAAGAGTGATTTTCTCAGTCCTCAGTGCAAAGTTAGAACAGTAACTCTTGACATCTCTAGAGTCCTCAAGATGGTACTTACCCCTCACTGACATGATGTATTACATCAGGTGTGAAAATACACAAAGATGGGCTCATGATAAATTAACATTTGTCTCTATTTACAATGCCTATACAGCGAAGCAGTGTTGAATTCTTTTTTCTCATTGTGATCAACAATGTATTTTTTTGGAAATTACATCACCTCCTACAAAGTGGTTAATTTTCCATATCAGCATAATTGGACGGTGTTGGATAAATGGTGTGTTATCTACAGGTTTAAAAATACTAATTCAGTAATTCTGTCAATAAAGAGTGATCATTTATCCACCTCTGGACCACCTCTATAATCATTGCAAACATCAACTGACTTGATCACATCTCATCACATCTCTATGTTTGGATACAAAATTGTAAAAACAGAAAAGTGGTAAGCTAAGACCCATTTGTCACCATCAGCAAATTTAAGTATTCTGCAAAGCCAGAAATACAATGGGATCTTTCTTTTGTATTGTGGAAATCACATGTAACCACTAGGTTGCAATTTGTGTGAATTGTGTAAAGTCATGTACAAAGGGAAGTAGTAATTACATAATGAACCAGTTAAATATTTATACATGGTTTAATATTTACAAAAAAACTTCAAAACTGTTTGTGGAATATTGCTGTGTCTTAATTGGCTGCTTTGTTTGCCTACAAATCTTCACAGCAGTTGACAGCAATTACCTGTGAAGTACTTTGAGATGCTTTGACTTTATATGTGTTATATATCAAATGCAAAGTTATTAAGGATTATTATAAGCTGTCTAATAGACTCTACAATTGTAACCCGCTTTGCAAGACTATAGAGGTTTGTTTGCTTCTGGAGTCAATGTATTCAAAATGTTACAGATTAGTGCACTTGATACATTGCCAGAGTCTACTCTGGACAACATTGGGGAAATGCAACTGAGCTGCCAGCCTTGTTCAGTGTTATAATCTTGAATAGCTCATATATTTTTATTTCTTTACTTATTGTGTTCTCTCCTGAAGGCATTTGACTTTTCTTTTTGTTTTTTGGAGCGTCAATTGCCCTCTGGATACTTCACTCAATTACTTATGCAAATTACTCATTGAGCCATGACATTGAGTATTGGCAGCCAATTTGTGTGCAGGAGCATCAAAGCTAAACTCAAACCTTTCCTCCTCTGGCATCAGCATATGGACACCTTCAAGCACTGCCTAATTTCCTTCCTCTCTAACCCAGACATTGTATTATAATTACAGCATTAAGCTGTCTCCAGCTGAACCTTGCTGTGCTGCCAATTTTTATTAAAAAAAACATCACGACCATCTGGGAGAAAGAATCTGAAAACTTGAGGATTTGGTATAAACAAAGCTTTTGGTATGTTTCAGAAGTTTGCAAAAACAGTTGATTTTTAATTCCTCTACTTGTGGTTAGCTGATAAAAGAATATAGCTAGGCTATAGTCCGTGGAATTGCCCAAACACGGAGAAATTAAAAAGATTAAAAAACATTCAAACTCAGAACTTTGTCAGCGCCTAAATGTTTAAACAGAATCTTTCACTTTATCTTTTCTATCTTTCTGTTGAATGTCGTGTCACTGAACTTGGTATTTTACATCCAATACTTCAGTGATTAGAGTCGAG